CATTTTATTATAATCAATCCAAAATCCATGACACATATAAACCTACGAAAAAAACAAGTTAATAATGTATCTCTCTCCGACTACTCTATGCCGCAGTAGTCCATACAAGGATAATGGCTGCGATTAGTCGCCATTGGGCCGCGACTTTTTGTGCGACTATCCGTCAGATCGCATGGCGTACAAGTTCGTATTGCCAGTTATTACACTTGCTAAGCTTAGTTTTTAAGTTAGCCTTTAGAGGATACTTACATGATGTTGGGTGAACTAAATAGTACGTTTGCTATGTTATTCCAAGCTGACTAATTGCATCCCTGCTCGTACCTTGTACCAATGTCTTTATAGTTTTCTGCGAAAGTATACTAAAGGAAGCTAGACTTACATGATTCCGTACGTAAGCCCTTGTCTTGTCTACACTAATCATAAAGAGTATTTCGTATTTTTATGTGTGTATGTTTGTAATGAATAAACTCAAAAACGACTCTGTTGATTTTAATTTTTGTGGCTATTGCAAAGCTACATTCTTTCTGGGTGGTGTAGGCTGTGTTGATTTAAGGAAACGATTAAGAATCCTTACTGAAACTTAGATAGGTAAGTTAAAAATCAAAACAATTCAACAATGTGCTGTTAGTGATAAGAAACCCATTGTTATAAGAATTATTTAAATTGAACCTTTTTTTGAAAGAATTGGAACGTAACGATGGTTTAAACGTTATACTCGAACGTTTTGTTAGAAAACCGTATAATATTTTTGTATTATGATCCCGCTACTCAGCATAACACTGCTAGGAGTGTTCACTCACATCTCTGATACAATCTTGAGGCATTCATTCATACAATTGCACTTTGTTCTCATTGTTCGAAGCCTATCACGCGTAGCATTTGCGTAATCATACACCGCGGGATGCACTTAACTTATAATCTTAATGCACCTTTTGAAATAGGTGTCTAGTCAGATATAGGTCGCTATTACAAAGCCTGGCTGTTTGAAATGGATCTAATGACCCGGTTCTGTGAGGTTTCTTTTTTTCTGGCCTAAATGACTGAAGTTAAGTTTGGTTTGAATTCTCGCTTACTTTTTTTCTGATCAGAAATTCAAGACAGTAAAAAAACTTTGAATATTATAAGTTGTGATTTACTTGATAAACACTAAAATTTTACTCTTTTATAGGTTCTGATCAAAATATAGGACATATATGTATAAACATGAACAGACGAAGAATTGCGAAAACCTCGTCCAATCAGATATTTAGCATCGAAGGCTTAACTAGAAATGAATAAAACCACTAGAGCTCCCCTCTCTTGCACACAAATACGAGAGCTAGTCAGACTAACTTTATAAGCCACATAAAACAAAAACTTGTTCCACGAAAAACACTATAAATTGCGCAAATCTCTCCGACGTTAAATATGAAGCCCATAAAGGGATGGAGGGGTGACCGGAAGTACCGGAAGTGAGTAATTAGCGTGCACTGGCCGGTGCGCGGGAAGATAACGTAACTACGTCATCTGAACATTCCCGGAGTCCGGGCAGTCAAGTGCAGCGTAATGAAATTATGCACAGCCGCCATTTTAAACGAAACTTAGGGACTTTTTGTAATTAGACGAGTGCTCGGAAACATCGGAGCGGAGGCTGCGCGTTTCACGAGAGATGAACATGAATATGAGAATTTTACTTCACTTGCATTTTTTATTTTCATGTGTTTTTTGGTTTGCTGAGCGAGTTTTATGAGAGTTTTTTTTAGACAACATCGTTGGTGAAACGGGAACTTAAATTCTCAGTCAGACAAAGTACTGTAAATTATTTTCAGTTTCAAAGTTCTGAAGAAAAAGCTACGTACGTAATATTCTTTAAATGAAATGTAGCATGTGTTAATGTGTTTGTGTGAATGCTACTTCGTTGTTTAGCCGGTGATATATGGGTTTAGCGCGACAGTCGGTGGCAATTGTTGCGATCGGGTCGTTGGGTGCATATCGAGCGAAACCGCTCTCGTTGACGAGTGCACCGCGTTCCTATTCAGTGTCACCTGAAGCCATAAACTGTCGAATTGCACAAAAACTATTATTTATGATGAAAAACTTTGTTAGTTATTGGGGGGAGATAAATAATAGTAGGTTTAAAATTAGTCTATTTGATGGGGTTTTAGTCGTAACGCACTTTATATGTCATAGAATCGTGATCGAGCATACGGATTATATGATGGTAAGCAGCGTTTCTGAGATTTAGGGATTAGGGAGGAATGGGGGGAGTATTAAGTCTCCGGTAACCCCACTCACACGGCGAAACACAACGCTGTAGTTGCTTCACGCCCGTTTTATGTGTAGCCGTTGTATCATTCGAGCCGAAGCTTGGCCCTCGCACAGTTGTTGAAAAAAAGATGAGATGAGAGGATTTTTTATACCTGTCAATATGAGTAGAATAGATATGTTGTGATGAAAGTTCCCTGCCAATAACCCCATGAAGGGCTGAAGTAAAATAATGTAAAGGGATCAAGGATCCCCTTGTAACCATGCGTGCACTAATGTGCTCAGTTTGAGCCACAGCGACAGATGATAGACAGACGGACAAACTCAAATTATGTCATTTATTTGAATGTGGATTGTTGTTTTTATGTTGGTTCAATAATTTGTATTGTATTATATAGGAGTGTTTGATCTGAACTGACTTATTGATATTTTTTGATGTGATAGGTCGGCAAACGAGCAGATGGATTACCTGATGGTAAGCAATCAGCGCCGCCCATGGAGGACCTACAAGTGCGTTGCCGATCTTTTTGGAATTAGGTATTGGAGAGGGATCGGATGATATGTGTTTACATGCTTATTATTGATTTGTATTTAGGTAATCACATCTCCAATTAAACAAAAACTAGATTATATACGCGAAGATTATATATGCGAAGTGAGGAAATTCTGAAAACCTGGAGCAGTAGGAGAATGGGCAGGGTGGTTTATAGTCAGTATGTGACATTTCTTCCATCTTCACCCAAGGTAAGAGAAGTCATTTGATAATTTCCCCACCTCAAAAGATATACCAAATATAGATTTGTACAAAAACAATAGAAAACTTAACGCATTCGTTAGTTAAACTCACTCAACGTAAAAAGCGCGGGCAAATTGCCAGCGGCTTTTCAACCTTGTAGACACGAAACAAATTAATATAAGTATTTAAAAGACAAACAAATCGCACAATGAAATGTGAAAGGTATTTAATTAGTTCATTAACAACATGCCAACGGATAATTAACACCATGATTGATGAACAGTATTCGCACATGAGTGATGTGGGTAAATTATATGTATTATGTATGTTACATAGATACTTAGGTAAGGGTACTTACAGATTTTATTGGTTTTTCACGATGTTCTCAATCGTTCTTACAAGCCACTTAAGATATAATTCTTGTTTTTAATATGAAATACTTGAGTAATTATAGACGCAGATTTGTTAATAAAAACAGCGAAAATATAAACTACCTCTGCGCTCACGTTTTAATTTATTTATTTATTTAGGCTTTTATGTACTCAGAATAAATAAACAGTTGGTGAAATGAAAAGGAAAAAGATAAATTTTAAATAAAAATATAACTATTTTAAAGAATTACATTGCATTAATAAATAAATAACTGCTTCCTGCCTTAATTCGTTTTAACGGTCAGAAATGTAAACTCAATTGATATTAGGTAGACGCTATACACTTGTTATTTTTATAAAAAAATCCGAAATGCTTTTTGACGCATTCACGACAAAAAAACGTATTAAAACCCAAGTATCAACCCAAAACCAACATTTTTCCTGTTGAAATAAACCATTTAAAAATACATTTTTTTCGTTGATGCCGAATTATTAATCAAAAATGCTTCTGTAGTCTAATCGAAATTGATTTTGACTTTTGACCTTTTAATATATTTTTGTCGAATCATCGACAGCTTATTTGCTTTCAGAGTCTCAATGTGGGCAGAGCGGCAACGTACTCTGATTACTTGTGAAAGACTTTCAGTTGAAAGTGAATCCCGAGTGTACTGCCCGGGGCAGTGTGTGCTGTAGCCTACATTGTGATCAATTGGAAACTTTCCACAGTCGCCACTGTACCACTGTGCCACTGGTGCAAGGCTTTATTAATATAATGTCTACTAGAGCTCCGGAAGTCTTATGTTAAATTGGTCTGAGTTTAATAAACCTGTTGGAGTCAGTGATTGAACGATCGGCTCTATTTCTTTTAAGACAAACCACACAATATTTCTTCTACTTCGCTTGTAAGTAAAAATAATAATAAAAGTGTAAGCCAAATTAGCAGCGTGCTAACAAAACAAGCTAACTCAATAAACAAACATAATAAAGTCAGACCGCACAACATAACACGGACGACTCAAAACAGAACCGATTTCTATAGGGACCTCCAACATCAGCTCAGGGGGTTAGCGAGTGAGCGAGTTTGTGAATTAGTCTCAGGTACAGCGCGATGGGTGCGGAGACTGGAGGGGCGCATTCTTACACACGACGATAAAAGCGTCTGGCCAGAGACCACGTCCCTATTGTGCGACCCTACACACGTGGATCTAAATGTTGGTTCATGCAACACGCTTCGGAAAAATAGCAAACATCAATCACCAATAACATCATTCAAAGAGTTGTTATTCGAACAACAATCTTCTAAATGGCATGAATGATTACAGCTAACAAGACTCCCAATCACGGAAGAGAGCACTTAGCTGTCGCCGTCAAAGAGCGGCTCGTTGATGTCGTTTGTACAACACAGGTAATTTATACGTATCTACTATCTAATCAAATCACACACGATATTAAAAATAGTAAACTTTCACTGCGCGGCGGCGGGCAGCGGCGGGCGCGGGTCGCGTATTGCGCGCGGACACCAGCAAAGCTCTCAAAGCTCCGCGCGGCGCGCCCCTTCAGTCCGCCGGCGGCAGTCGACCGGCGTGTACGTGCCGCTCGCAACGCCCTCCCTCGGAAACTTTACGCGAGTGCAGTGACAGTGAGTGAGCATGCCCGCCCGCGCCGTGGCCCTCCTAGCCACCGCGGCCCTCGCGCTAGCCGCTACCCCGTCTGACCCATGCATGGAGGATGGCCGCCCGCGTCGGTGTATCCCTGACTTCGTTAATGCTGCCTTTGGAGCTCCTGTTGTTGCTTCTTCCATCTGTGGAAGACGAGGCCCCGAGCGACTCTGTGACCCTCCCGGGGACCAGCCTCCCGAGAACTCATGCAGAGTGTGTGACGCTGCCAGATCTGACCGCCGACACCCGCCGACCCACCTCACTGACTTGAACAACCCTCACGACGTGACTTGTTGGAGATCTGCTCCTATCCCTCCGACCTCTTACGACTCACCCCCTGACAACGTATCTCTTACCTTATCTCTCGGCAAGAAATATGAGTTGACTTATGTGAGTCTACAGTTCTGTCCGAAAGCAGCTCGACCTGACTCTGTAGCTATCTACAAGAGTGCGGATAATGGCGTTACCTGGCAGCCCTTCCAGTTTTACTCCAGCCAATGCAGGCGCGTTTATGGAAGGCCTAACAAGGCTACCGTTACTGCTGCCAACGAGCAGGAAGCGAGGTGCTCCGACAGTCACAGGCTGACTGGTGAGAGCTCTGGAGGAGCTAGGCTGGCATTCAGTACGCTTGAAGGACGCCCGAGCGCCGCTAACTTCGACATATCACCTGTACTTCAGGATTGGGTCACAGCTACTGATGTTAGAGTGGTTTTTAACCGTTTGCATATGGTTAACGAAGGAGATGAAATCGATAACAAGAAGCAGGCAGCTCCGGGCAGTCAGCATTACGCGGTATCGGACTTCGCGGTCGGAGGTCGTTGCAAGTGCAATGGTCACGCGTCTAGGTGTATTCCGATGAAAGGCACGGACGGGGCGGCTGCCGGAGGAGTGCAGCAGCTGACCTGTGACTGCAAGCACAACACGGCGGGCCGCGACTGCGAGCGCTGCAAGCCCTTCCACTTCGACAGGCCCTGGGGACGCGCCACCGCGCGGGATGCCAACGAATGCAAAGGTCAGAATACCATCCGTAACCTTGCTTGCTTGCTGTACATTATTTTTAGGAATCACGCCATTTCTTATGTAGTTATTGTAATTGGCCAGTATTATAATTTAAATTCTTGTTTTGAACAATTAGATGATTTGCTTGTTTTTTGTTGCTCTCTGTTTGTTTTACGACTGTCCAATCAGAGTTATTTCCGTAATTACCCCACAATAATTACAGATCGATCATTAAACTCTACGAATCGCAAGAAAAACAGTCTCAAACGTGTTTTTGATCTCCGTAGTGACCTTTTGAAATAAAAGTACTTAAATGATATCGACTTTATGTAACTGATTGCAAAACTAAATTAAGGAACTGTAATAAGTATTTGAAATCATTCGTTTTATATCAATAAATTCCTTGCGTTCAAAGTTTTACTCGCAATTATTTGCTACAACTGCGGTGGCTAGATTATTACGCGCCCACATAACGCAAGTAAATGCACCCACGAATTGACTGAAAGTGCTGCACTTAGTGTATACTGATTTAGATTTTTAGGTACGTATTTTGTGTTAAGTTTCTAATTAGACTGTTATTAAAATATAGTAGATAATTATGAATTATGATGCAATTATAATAAAGTTCTGCCGAAGCAAAATTTTTCCAATTCCCGCCATGACAATAGCTTGACCGGAAATACGCTACAAATTATAAATTTCTACAAACAGCAGTTAATCTTAAATATCTCGAATATTTAACCCGTTCCCTGCCGACATAACTGCTGGTTAAATTAATTGATTTATTGCATGGCATGCCTGTCCGTTAATTAACATTTATGAGTTATAAATTTTTACTCTGAGCATGGTGCAAGCGTAGCTCTCATCCATCATCGATTGATGGGCTGCCTTTACGAGAATACCATATTAGAAAATTAGATCAAGAACGGAATTATGTTTTTTAATACTTGCAACTTTAATAATATTGGAAGTACTTAGCTGTTTTTGGGATTTAGAATGTAAAGGTATTTTTAAGAGATTAAGAGAGGTTGCTGTAACTTCATAAATTTGTAGATTTTTTTACAAAGGTAACACTTTGAATGTAATAGGTTTAAGGGGTTCGGTCTCAGATACTCTTTTAGAAAATAACGACTTACTCGCCTAAATTTACTGAGAAAAGTTCCACAAGTTTCAGTTCACATCGGGACTATAAATATAGTATTTTTGTTCTTCTAATAATAGAAAAACCGGTACGTTACTGTTTTTAGGCGAATATATTTTTTTAAGCTTTGCCGCGTTGACTTAAAACAGCGTTTTTCTTTTATCGTGTTGGTTCGAGTCGTGCATAGTGTCGTTTGGGTGCTTTGCTATATCGTTATCTATACTAATATTATAAAGAGGTAAAATTTGTATGTTTGTAAGTTTGTATGTAGGGGGTAATCTTTGGAACAGCTGGTCAGATTGGCAAAATTCTTTCACTGATAGATAGCTACAATGTTCCTGAGTGATATAAAACATCACGCAACGATTAAAAGCAGCCGAGCAGCGGATGAAACCACGTGAGAGTAGCTAGTATTCAAAAAATATTATAATAACCATAGTAACTATAAAAAAACTGTTAAAAGTGGTTCAAAATATGATAATAGGTAATAAAAGCTTCAGGACAAAGTATAAAACTTTCAATTGTATCCAGCATTCATCTTGTACATTTCGTCCCCTCGTAATTACCCATCCGTTCGGTATCACAATGTAGAGCTAACAAACTGTACCGCGATAATAGAGGTGCGCCCACGCATCCCACCTCTATGATTTGTGGTCCACAAACGCATATTATCATAAATTTACCAAGTCTACTTTTAAAGATGTCTTAAGGATTGTTTCTTTTTATTTTTCAGTGTTATTATGTTTTCAAAGTAATGGCCAAGACTTATTTAGTATTTTCTGAATCAATTTGGTTATATTTAATTTAAAACATCAAATTTTAAAGTATTAAACTAATAAATTTAATCACCTTATTAGTGCTACAAACATATGTTTATGGACAACAGGCTATACGAAAACTATTCAGAATATTAACACTTAACTGTTTCTTTTTATTGATAAGTCAAAACATATAATTCATTTTCGTATAAGGCCATTAGAAATATGTTATCAGAGCATAAGCTACAAGTGGTTTCTCCAAAAAATCGTAGTTATGATCATGAATGCAAGAAATGTGGGCCAAAAACAAGTTCTAAAAATATCAGAATGAAGCAATAAAAACTATAATCCGTGTTATAAAGGCCAATTGTAGCCGGCCCAGTATCGGCGCGGGCGCAGTATTCGGAAGCACCCACAGATATGTGATTCTATAAAGATAACCAATTCGATCAGATCATAGAATCAATATACATAGCTATCCATAGACCGCAATGAGGCAACCTCGGCCTAGAGCTTGAGGAGGAACAGGGGGTTTTTAGTCCGTAAGAGTTTGACACTCCCTCTCGCCTCACCCTGGGCGGGAGAAGCTGGTGATTTTCCTCTAGACATAAATTTATAAAAAGTTTAAGTTTTAAACTTTCGCGTTTCATATTAATAACATATATTTACGCGGGTATTTACGCGGTAAATTATTATTTGAATACCTTGGTTGGCTTGACGTTTCGACCCAGTTGCACAGGTCGTGGTCACAAGACTGAAGACGCGATGTCACAGCTCCCCCGAGGAGGCGATGAATCTTCATCTCCCCCTTATTTTCGTTTTCTACCATATTAGGCAGTCTACACACTACGCTGACTCTCTCTCTCTGAAAAAGTCTTTCGTTATTGGTGACTGAATGACGGAGAGACAAACAAACGCAAGGTAGAAACTACTAGTAATAACCTGTATTGTGACTTGTTTTTTTTTTTTAATTATATTAATACTTTTAGAATACCGCGGGTTAAAACAGACTTGGTATAAGCCTATGATGATGGCCGTGGGCAAAATCTAGTATTAATTCTATTCAATAAACTATATTACATATTATACTTCACGAAATATACATACGAATAAATGTCTTTACGTACACAGTTTTTGTAACACTTTTATGAGTTCATTCACTAGATACATTACATTCATGTACAATTCTTGTAAATACTTATTTAGAATTTTAGCATATTGACACAGATATCGGTAAAAATACAATACTTACTATTTTAATATGATACTTTTAGTCAAGCACCTGGAGTTCTGAGGTTTAGGATGTTGTAGGGTCAAGCGCAAAATGGTATCGCGGCCTCGGCCTGGAGCAGGAGAAAGACCGGGGTGGTTTTAGCCAGTTAGAGTCTGACACTACCTTTCAATCTGCGCTATAGAAGTCACTTGATGACATGGTCTTGAACAAATATTTTTTTTATAAGAAGTCACTACCATATTAAATAATTTATTTGATCTAATAATAATTTTTTATGTGATTTAAGGATTCAATTTTTATTTAACATACTTTTGTAAGTACTAGTCGCTGAATATGGATCAATTTTACTTTAAGTAGATTTATGAAAAGCAAATACATAATATAAATTAAATTTGTTGAATCACAGAGGTCCGTGGCGACTAGCGATCGACATCAAGATAATGTTATTTTATTGTGATAGTTTAGTGCTAAGCGTGTTGTTTGTCCCAGCATTGTAGTTTATTGCTTTACACCCCCAGTAGGGCTGCCGCGCACGGACACTGATTAAACATTTATAAATTATTAATTGTTACGTTCGAAGATACAGGGATGTGGCAATTTATATATATTCATGTTTCAAGGGGGGGAGGATTAGATCTTAATATTTAATTTAATTTTGTCAATTACAATTAGTATAGTGTTGTTTATACAACACTCTCTCGCGCATCGTATCGATCGTAGCGTGATGTTTTATAGCCTATAGCGCTAAGGAACATTGTAGCTATCTTTCCGTGAAAGAATTTTGGCATTCCGACCAGCGGTTTCAAAGATTACCTCCTACATACAAACTTACAAATTTTACCTCTTTATAATATTAGTAAAGATAATGATACCGAAATTGGCTAAAATAATGAATTTTCTTTGACTTAAAAATAGTCGGTACCTAAGATCAGTACGGGTTGTCTGCTCAACAATCACACAGTAAAACGTGTTGAATACAAAATGCTTTCTTTTCCTGTAATAACAAAGTAAGGGAAGCTACAGATGAACAGGAATTTGCACTAAACTATTTCGATTTACCGAAAATATAAAAAAAAGAGTGGTACGAGACTCAAGGGTCTGAGAGATATGGCGAAGAACTCACCCTTTCCGCCTCACTGACGATTAGTCACTCAATTTTGACGGGAAGATCGATACAGACCTTTCAGGCCTATCTTTGCCCTCTTGAGACTTGCAAGAGCCAATAAGGGCAGAATATTAGACGAATGGGCTCTTAGGCTCGACCGGGCAACATAAAAGTCAGGAATGCTAACTATTTTCGACCATTTACAAGCAAAGGAATTTTCATCAACAAACGCGTGTTACTTGATCAGAAATCGGCGACATATCGAAATCTTTTAGCTTAATACGAGCTTTATGTCGAACTCGAAGTAATTATTGGAATTCTAAGTGCTGTATTAAAGTAAGAACAGGTTGTACCAACCCTATGATTTCCAGTGATTGATATTATCAAGTTATTTGTCGAGATATGTCGCTACGGCTTGCTTTATAGCCTTAGGAAGTGATAAAAACCGTGTATTTGATTACCAATGGCTTATTTCCTTTACGGCACGCCTAATGGACATTTTTGAGGAACAATAGCCATCTCCCGTTGTTATTGTGTACGGTCAAGGTAGGTTTTATGCGGGTTACAATTAACCGTTTCTGTGGTTATTGTGTGTTACTCTTTTAAGTTTAAAAGTATTTTGTTAGTGGTTAGAAATTATATAATAGGTATTCATGCGTTCTATTACTGTATCTGACATCTTTATTGCTATTAACTGGATGCAATGCAGTTGCACTGTTACTTTCATTTATAACATTCATTTCATTTATATTATTATAGATAGAATCTCAAATAT